CGGCCCCTCTACCGCTGTGTGCCCTGTCACCTGCCCGGCTGCGTGACGGCTTCCCAGCTGTGCGCCCCTCAGGGAACACAGCCTTAACAGAGCTGCTCACTACATGGAGCCGCTTCCGTGCCCTGAGCGACCTTTGCTCCCATAGCTGCGGGGCAGGTCTGCCTGAGGCAGAGGGCATGGTTGCTTGTTTGTCTGGAAGGTATATGGAAACCCAGGCCTGGCTAAGGTGTGCACGTTAGCTATGAGGAAAAAAATATCTGAAAATTACTGCATAATTCAGTAAAAGAGGGGCCCTCATAAAAGTTCCTAATTGGAACTCTCTGGTTCTCTGCTTGCCAAGAGATTCCAATGCAACAAGTTTTTCTATTCTGAAACTTAATGGGGTTGTTTAGCACTGTCTAAATCCGCTGAAAGTAGATCACATTTTTCATCTGGTTTTTTGGGGGGTATGTTTTCCTTTTTGCAGGAGATCACAATGGCCCAAAGAATGTTTAGAACACATTTGCTGTTCTGCTTTGCTATGGCTGCATTCTTCATCTCTGCCCTAGCTGAGGAACACGTAGGAGAGAGTCAACATCCAAATATTCGCCTTGATAAGAATTTGGTACAAGATAAAGAGTAAGTTTCCCATGTTCTGAAAGTGTAAATTTTACTTCTTAATTATTTTCTTATCTCTAAATTATTATGCGAGTTGGACTTAAGCCTAGAGCACCCTGTTTTTTCAGAATGTTGTACGATTAGCTAAAGCCAGATATGAGACATGCTTGCTTGATACATTTGTAGAGATACAAGACCTAGAAAGGCTTTCTCTGGAGCCTTTAGCCCAACTTATGCTATAAAAAATTTCTTACAGAAATCCTGCCTACCCATATCAGCATACTTTAGACAAAATCTTATTCCTAATAGGTAGAATTTATTTTTTCATTTGCGTCTTCACAAATGTGGAACAGTTCTAGCAGCAAGTAAAACTTCTTAGAACAGTTCATGGTTGACTGGGAAAGATCTTCCTCCAGTTCCTGTGCTTTGGAAGACAGCCAAAAAGAGATTTTGGGCTCTGCTTCAGTTGTTTTGATAGCCTGTTAAGTAGGCCAGAAGAAATAGTTATCTAAGGCATTAGAGGCTTCTACATCCTCTCTAAAAAACAACCTTTGTATCCTCTTTATCTTGATATCAAACTGTAGCTTTTAGTTGTCCAGGGTGCTTTTAGACATACAATATTTGATCAAAGACTAAATTAGCTGTAAACAGAGCATTAAATCTTAACTGATGGAAATGTTGTGGGTTTTGTTTTTCTTAGACACATCATGGAACACCTGGAAGGTGTTATCGAGAAACCAGAATCTGAGATGTCTCCACAAGAGTTGCAGCTCCATTACTTCAAAATGCATGATTATGATGGCAATAATTTGCTAGATGGGTTAGAACTTGCTACTGCTATCTCACATGTCCACAAAGAGGTTGGTGTAGTTTTGTAAGGGCATATGTGCTTGGAAACAGTTCTGACTCTAAAAGCAGCAGAGCAGTTGCAACACATCCTTGGTGCAGTTACAGTTTTTCCTGAACATGAGAGTACTTTTCTCTTGATAGTTCTGGTTGAATTTATAAATGATCACTGCTTTTCGTGTCACATTGCAGTTTTTAGGAAGTTTCCATTTTGGTTTAAACTCTAGAATCAGGAAGGGCTCCAGAGTGAAAATCATTTTACAGAGGACTTACTTAGGCAGGTAGGGATGGGAGAAAGGGAAGTTATCCAAAATGAGGCATAAGAATTTGTAGAAATATCATGATACGACACTCTTTTCAGCTTCAGGCTGTTACTGCTGTTTGTACACAAACTATAAAAAACCTCTTGCACAAAATTGATATTAGAAGAATGTGCTATGGTCTGCTTCTTCCTACACTCAATTTTTCAGTCATTAGGAACACAATAGAAACACATTATCTCATATTGACCTTCTGCAAGTTACAATTCAGAAAAGCATAACTTCCTGCTAATAACCTGTGGCAAAAATAGCGAGAGACAAGAACAGAATATGAGTGGCTGTTTCTTGTGCAAAGGCACCTCTTTGTGTTCCCATAAGGAGTGTTACTAAGTATTTTCCTGACTTGAAGCTACAGTGCTGAATTTTTTCACTTCTGTGTAAGGTGTTTCTGTAGTGTATAGAAACTACAATGTCTATACTACATCAAGATCCTAATTAAGAATACATTCATTAGATGATTGTCCATCATTATACATTGTGGTATTCAGCTTTTGGAACTTCTGACCAAGAATGTTGACTGCAGAATGCTTGTTCTGAATCCAAAGAACTTTGACTTCAAACCTTCCATCTGATGAAATTTGCTTACATTGTTATAAATGATTACATAAATCTTAGTGCCAAATTAGGCACCAAAGATGAGCAGCTTTGTAAAAAATTGGTTGTCAGTAATCTGTCACACGTGCTACTAGATGAGAAAGACTGCTAAACTGTTCCCTGTGGTTTTGTTTTTGTAGGAAGGTGGTGGACATAGCCAAGCAATGAAGGAAGAAGAGCTGATTAGTCTAATTGATGATGTCTTGAGAGATGATGACAAGAACAATGATGGATACATTGACTATGCAGAATTTGCAAAATCACTGGAATAAGGGTCTGTTTCTCCTCCTAACCACATGAAAATGTGAACCAGTATAATGTGATTCATTACTGTCTTGTATCAACCCCTGTGCTGTGAGAAGTAGAGGTGTTCCAGTTCCACCTAAATTTATTTGAAAGTTGTATGAGTCAAGAGTTTTGCTAACTTGGAGTGAGAGCCATGTTTGACTAAACATAATACACATTTGAATTGTGAAGCATGGAAGTGCCAGCAGTACTCACACAGGGTACAGCTGGCAAACTCCTGAGTAGCTCTGTGTGAATACTAAATAGAGTCATTAGCATCTAAATTTCAGGTTTTCAGTCGTTGGGTTTTATAGTTCTTATTTGCTTACATTTTCTATTTAAAATTATACCTAGAAAACAAGAAATGATTACTGCATAATAGTTCTATTCCAAGGGGAAATGCCTTTACCTTCTCTCTAATTTACAAGAAAATCTGTAGATAAGTACAGGTGCTTGAAACAGCAGTTGTAGAGGAAAAGCATTTGAGTGTGAGTTATGTTTGAGTTCCACATGACACCATATGAACTTAAACAGCCTTTGAATAAATTGAGTATTTTTAAATATATGTACTTCCTAGCATACCATTACATATAAATATATATGTGTGTTTTTCAATTTTTTGTCCTCTACAAATTTACTTTTTATATCTTAATTTACCAGGGGTTTTTTATCTGCCTTCCATTTTTTAAAGAAAATTGAAGTATTTTATTACATGTTATGTTAATGCTGTATAGCATTTGTTAGAAAGCTTCTGCTATTTGGTTTTGAACCATAGAATGGCCTCGGTTGGAAGGGACCTTACAGCTCATTCAGTTCCAACACCCCTGCCACAGTCAGGGACACAATTTCCACTAGACCACGTTGCTCAGGTGTTCCCTCCCTAGGGTTAGGGCATCTACAACTTCTCTGTGCAGCCTGTTCCAGTGCCTTTCCACCCACACAGTAAAGAATTTCTTCCTAACATCTAATCTAAACCTAGCCTCTGTCACTACATACTCTTGTAGAGTCCCACTCCCTCTTTTTTTAGGCTCCCTTCAGGTACTGGATGGCTGCAGTTAAGTCACCCCAATTTTTCCAGGCTGAACAATTCCAACTCTCTCAGCCTTTCCTCACAGGAGAGGTGCTCCATCCTTGTGATCATCTTGGTGGCCTCCTCTGGCTCCCTCCAGCAGGTCCATGTCTCTCCTGAGGTGGATGCAGGGTTCCAGGTGGGTCCCAGCAGAGCAGAGGGGCAGAATCCCCTCCCTGCCCTGCTGCCCACGCTGCTTTGGCTGCAGCCCAGGACAGGTTTGGCTTTCTGGGCAGTGAGGGCACATTTCCAGCTCATGTCCAGCCTCTCACCCAGCAGCACCCCCAGGTCCTTGTCCCCAGGGCTGCTCTTGATCATCCCCCAGCCTGTGTTGATACCAGGGCTGCTCCATCCAGGTGCAGCAACTTGTACTTGGTCTTGTTAAACCTCATGAGATTCCTGTGGGCCCACTTCTCAAGCTTGTCCAGCTTCTGGATAGCATCTTATCCTTCAGGACTGTTTTGAAGGTCACATTAACAGTAAACCAGTTTTAATATTAAAGCTTTTGTTCATTTTGGATTTTGCAGTATTAGCCAGCAGGAGAGAGCAAGTAATGCTGCCTTGTTAAGGTTTAAGTTCATATTCCTTGACACCTGAATTATGGTATTACTTTCAGGAAGTATTTCATAATTTAACAGTTTCAAGCTACTTGAGTGTTTTCAAATCATCATGGCTCTAGGAATGTTTTCACTGTCTTGACTCAATACTTGATAAGTCAAGCAGTTTAAGAATATTAGAGCTGCGATGTATTGCTGTGTGATTGATGTTTGGTGACTGAAACATAATAGAAATCTTAAATTGCATTCAATGATTTTTCATTAATAAAGAATCTAAATGTTAGCCTATTTCTGTAAAATGTATAAAGAGCTATTTTCTATACAAAATTATTCTTATACAAGAGAAACACATTGTAAAAGAAACTATTTCCTCTCTTTAAATGTTTGTGCAATGAAGCCTGAGTGTTGGATTTTTTTTTTGTATTAACTATTTATTTTGAAACCTTTGTGGCCAAGTTTGTGCTGGTTGTACAAGCAATAAAATTAGGCTGGGGTTTGTGCATGCTGATAGGATACACAAGGCTGGAAGTGCTAGTAAGAAATGCACCTCATTTGCTGATGTGTTTTTAAGCTTGTCTCTCTTACTCACAGTCATCTTAAAAGAAAATTCTTTCAGTTACACTTAGAGGGTTTCTTTGGGTTTTTTGGTTGGTTGTTTGGTTTTTTTTAATCTCTTCTGAGGCTCTGAATGATCTGGAGTGAATGTTGAATCGGAAGAAAGTGTAGGAAATGCTAGTGGCTAAGAGGGCACAAGAGGTTAAGCTGCTCAGCTTGAGCACTTAAAGCAGGTTGCCTGTAGCCCTGTCAACTCTTATATGCTTATTGCTCTTGTGGTTTAACCCCAGCTGGCAGCAAGGGGCCACAGAACCGCTCACTCCCCCTGGTCTGATGGCAGAGAGGATCAGAAGGGCAAAAGTGAGAAAATTTGGGGGTTGAAATGAAGATAGTTTAAAGCAAAAGCCCTGAGTGCAAGCAAAGCAAAATAGGGAATTTCTTCACTCCTGTCCATGGGCAGGTGATTGGCAGGAGAGCAAGGCTCCATCACATATGATGATTGCTTGGGAAGACAAATGCCACCACTCCAAATAGACCCCTCCTTCTCTTCCTCCATCCCCCTTAGCTTTATATGCTAAGCATGGCACCATGTGCTCAGGAACATCCCTTTAGTCATTTGGGGTCAGCTATCCTGGCTCTGTCCTCTCTCAGCTCCTTGTGCACCTCTCACTGGTGTGGTGGGATGAGAGGCAGAAAAAAAGATCTGTGTAAGCTCTGCTCTGCAATAATGAAAAATCCCTGTGTTACTAACTCTATTTTCAGCACAAATCCGAAACACTGCTCCATACTAGCCAGTGTGAAGAAAATTAATTCTTTGCCAGCCAAAATTAGCACAATACTTAAGGCTCCAAGTTTTGGGTTTGAGATGAAAGGGCAAGACTCTTACACATGGTTTTCTCATCACATGCAACCACCTGTAAGTCTATTTATGTACTTCTGTTGTATTCATGTGAATATTTATTTACTGCTATTATTGTATGCGGCAAAAGACATACACCACAGAAGCTTCATATTGGAAATCATAAATGCTGGTAGTATGAACATTATTTGCCAGCTATTTTAAATTTGTTTTAAGGGTCCAGAAGTATAAATAGAAAAATTATTTACTGAAAGGGGAAAAGAAAATTGGTACCTTTGATATGCGTGAAGAACAAAATAAAATTTCTGCTTTCCTATAAAGAACAGTTCAAGAAAAATTACCCAAGCTGAAACCTGCATTGTCATGTCTTTACTCAGCCTTCTAAAACAAATACACATGCGTAATTAGTACAATTAAAGATAAGTGTTTTAAGAGCTGTCTAGGGAGCTTTCTCAGTTATTAAGCAGAAAAGTGCAAAATTGCTGAGAGTGATGGTGAATCAGACTTCTTTTTTTTTCAAATATAACTGATTTGTGTGCTAGTTGTAGCTCAGATAATACCCCTAAATGTGCTGGCACAGGCTGTATATAAATACAGTATTTTCTCTTTCATATATATAAGATATAGAAAATAGGGCCTTTACAACAGTAGTACTCATCTATAAAGCGGTTCTAGTTTCCATAGAACAGTTCAATCTCCATTTCACAGGTAAATAACAAAACAGAAGGGGTACTGGTTTTGCTGAAGATCAATCACATCCCTGGCAGGAACAGAAGATCAGGAGAATGCTGTTGTGTGTGATCTTCACATCTTCATAGCCCATGACCTCAAGGGATAAAGATTAGCATTCCCCATTGGAGAGAACACATCTAGCCTTGCATTACTGTCTACTGTGTGCTCAGTTTAAAATGTTTGGATTATCTGCTTTTACCTCACGAAATATTGCAGAATCTAGCAACTAAAGAAGATACATAAACTTTTCCTTGAAGTACTCCTAAACTGACTGGGTTTTTTAGTAATAAGTCTAGAACAAAGTCTGTACAGAAAAGAGAAACATATTAACAACTTGACTACTGCTTGTCAGGCTTCTGATAATGACAGGACTGACACCCTAGAAGCCCTCCCATCAAGAGTTTTACCTGCACATTCACACAAGGTTTATGCCCTTTGGTTTTCTTCATTAATCACTTATGACCTCAAAATGTCTTAGATTCATTAGGGAATGGTTACAGACTCACAAATTCCAATTTTGTCTAAAGTATTTTTTAATCCTGCAATTCACAGGTGAAAGAAGAGTAATTCGGGGGCAATGTCATAATCGACAGAGCCACTAGATAGCGTGTGGGCACTGCACATCAGTTCCCTGCAGTATGGAACAGAGATCCAGCAACCTGCATTTCCCTAAAGCAATTCCCTAAACCACCACTCTGACTAGAGGCACAGCTTACTGCTCTATCTTACACCACCACATTGACTGCATGATGCCTGCATTTTTATTGGTTTATAAATTTTATTGGGTTTTAACTTTAATTGTCATAAAAGTTGACTACAGATGGGACTGGTTACTGGTAATTAATTTTCATTATTTACGGAATCCAAATTAACTTGAAGTGATGGTAAAGGAACTCTCATTGTAATTTTATCAGTAAAAATATTTGTGTAATAGGAAGGCTTTCTAATATAAACATCAAGCTTGGTGTGACTTCTTGACCATCTCTAGTTTACCAGTGAGAGGAGCCATGATGTGTCTACAGTGGTCTTAACCAATGTTAAAGAATAGTGCAGGGTTTTAGTAGCACCTGAAGTTTTACTGCTTTTGCATTAGTCATAAGAGCTTTTGTCACAGTTGTGACAAGGCAGAGGTCCAGTATGGTCTGATCAGCCATTTCTGCTTAAGGTGAAGTTTATTGGCTTTTTTCCTCCTCTCCCCCATTACATGTAAGTTTCATTGTCCGTCCATTGCAACATGAAATCACCACATAATTGTCTAAGCTTTTTTTAAACTAGGTAGGGCAAGCATCCTTGCATACCTTAGCCTGGAATATTTATTATCACAAGGAATTTGTGTTCTAAACACTTCATTAGCACAGGTCCTCTGACCACATTGAGATTCATTACAAGGGAAGTTATTAATACCTTACAGAAAGTTTCTCTGAAGTTACCTTTTTCTGCTCATTCTGTCTTATAAATTCTGAAGAGCAGCCTAAATCTTAAGGCCTAATACACACTGTAATTGTCATAATCTTCCTCAGCTTCACTGCAGCTTTGCACGTAGGTAGAGGGCAGTGTAACATACAGCTCCAAGTCTGCTGCCACATAGGACATTTTACAACAAATCAGCACTGCAGCGAACCTAGTGTCACCTTCTGCCATCTCATCCAAGTGACCCACAGCACTGGAGTTCAAGAAGGCTGACGCCAATCAACTCAGAGAATGGGAAGGGAAGATCTAATACGAAGCAAATCTAAAGGAAAAAAACAGATTATGGACAGCTTCAATTCATTCAAGAAATGCTAGTAATAAGCCAAGTGCAACTATGGCATTTTAGAGGAAAGTAAGGAAATAGAGCAGAAATCAGCTAATTCACAACCTTTTAATAGACCTCAGTTGTAAGAGAGATATCTGTAAATAGACACTAGTACAGCTGGTTGAGAACCCAGCACAACACTCCATTCATGGGGAGGTGTAGAGGGGGTATAAACAGTTAGTAAAGATAGACTAGATACAACTAGCAAAACTTACCAAAAGTAAAATAAATTTTACAGATAAGAAGAGAAAAACAAAGAGAAATTTGGACCAGTACTCTATGACAGGTAAGTGCAGAGGATGTTAAGGAAGTGGTAAGAGATTAATTCCATTTTTTTCTCCCTTTTTCATCAATCTTACTTAAAAGATCAAAAGCAATTAGAGAGTGCAGTTAATTAGGGGGCAAAATTTCAGCCTAAAATATGCAAAACTTGCCTTAGAGAATAGCATATCACATTACATGTCTTCCAGTTCCCTAAGCAATTTCACTTTAGGAGTCTTAAATGGAAGTTGAAGTACCTAGCTGGTGATGTCACACAGCTTGAATTTATTTTATATAATTTTTTGCAAGGCCTTTAGTGATATATCCTATAATATCCTCATGGACACGCTAGTGAATGGTGTTCTAAATGAAACTGCTGTGGGAAGGGGCAGGAGGTCAAGTCTAGTTGGATAATTGTATCCACAGAGTAATTCCATCCTAACATCAAAATGTGCATGTTTTGTAAGGAATTCTGTGGGCCTTGGTCCTGTATAAGGTTTTATGTTTTCAATGAAGGCATAGAAGATTGAATATGAAGTATGAATATGAACCCTGCAGATGGAACAAGGAAGGACTGCAGATGTTAGAGATACTAAAAAAATCAGAATCTGAAATGTTCTTGATATGACTTAGATCATCTAAAATGGATGGAATACAATAGTGCAAAATGCTTACACAGAAATACTCATCTGTTCTTGCAAAACTGTCTAAGTTCACAAGAGAAAATACCAGGGATTACGTTGGAACAAGCTGAGCATGGAGGGCAAAGCCTTCACATCAGAATGTTTAAAGGGTCTTAAAGACTACTGAAAGAGCACATGTGGGCTGATTCCCACAGGAAAAGATTCACCTGGACGACCACAACCTGTTTAGTGCGCTGTACTTCAAGTAAGAGATGAAAGAGTCAGCAGGGGAGATCAGCAAAAATTGTCAGGGGTCCAGAAAACATGAGGAAAGACTGCAAGAAATGTGGCTTTTTTTTCTCTGAAGTAACAAGACAGAAGGTTAATATTCTTCAACTAAAAAGCTGTTGCAAAGAATAAGGAACTAACATGTTCCTGATGGAAAGATCAGGAAGAATAAACCATGAAGAAGCATAAACCAAACAGCTTAGGAGACTTAGATTAGACATTGGACAAAACTTCTGTATCAACAATAAGATACTGCAGCTTGGGGTGACATGATTGCAACTCGGTTGTGGGATAGAAAGGTGTAGTTAGTAATTTTTCCAGATTTTCTCCAGTGAAAGCCTATCTCTGAGTGAGTCAATGACTCAATATCTGTGTGGACTTGATTTGGGAGGAGAAATCCCTTAAGTTGGGATCCACAGCTAAGAGCTGAACACAGGACCCGAACAGAGGGAGCCTGTGCTCAGCTCCAGGTCTCAGAGAAATCTTCCCCAAGATCACCCAGACTGTCCTACTCTCTCTCTGCTGTAAGGCCTTCCTCTTCTCTTTATCATCTCTGCAGACTATCATGGAGCCAGCCATACTCCAGTTTTCTACTAATCCATCTGGATACCAGTTTTGCATCTCTTCTTACCATCATAACCCATTTTCCTTCTTGAAAAGTTTCTCCTGTAAACTTACTCAGCACTTCTGCCTTCCAGTCAGGCCACTTTTCTTTCAGTCCCAGAAGACAATGGCCAGTGAGACAATCCTGCTGCAGTCAGTTCCTGTGCTGCATGGCAGAGCAGCCTGCAAGCAGCAGCTCCTTGCTCAGTTCTGTCAGGGTACAATCACTGGCACTGGCTTCGAGGTGCAAAACCCTTCCCAGTTTCTACTGAGCACATTCAAAATGTGACTGTCAAGAGCCAGAAGTGAACACTTTGACTACAAAGAATGCTTTATTTGGGATTCAAGTCCTAGCTCCAGAGCACAGAGAGAAAAACCAGAAACCCCCAAACAAAACAGTAAAGACTGTTAAGTCTTTAAAATGACAAAGTAAATTCCTAGACCTATTTTCAACAAATAGTCAACTATTTTTGTTGACACTGAGAATATAGTGTAAGAACATCCATACTGAGTCAAAATCAAGGTCCATCTAGCCCTAGAGCTTGCTTCAAATAGTGGTCAATGATAGATGCTGATGGAATAATAAATAGAGAAAGAATGATGTCATACTTCTCCAAAATACATATAAGGCTCCAGCAATTTGTAGATTTGGAACTTAGCTTCAACAACAGTGAAACCAACGGATGTCCAGAGCTCAGAACGATCAAGGTTTAAATGTCAAAGTCTGGGAACATTATTTAGCAAAGCCAAGGTCTCAGGGAACATGTTCCACGTCCCATTGTCAATGGTACATCCTGGGCAGACCTTACTGTTCACATTGCTCTGCTCTAACTTCCAGTGCGAGCCAAGGGAATCATCCAGGGAGAGCACATCAGTGCAGTGCTATAGCAGAGCTGTACTATTTGCAGATGTCACATTCTTCCTAAGGTGAGGGATGCTAAAAATAGTCTAATGAATGTTTGCCTATGGTTTTGGTCATACTTCAAGAACCATATTTAAAAATTTCCCAATTATGAGAAAGTTCTAAGCTCATATTTTGCAATTAATTCTCTTGAAGAATAGAATATTATGCCTCAGAACTTACTTTGTCATAAAACCACAAATAAGTCCAAAAACACTTATGCTAAAAAATAGTATTGGCTTAAAGCCTCATCATGTGTGGCTTGCAGCCATATTGGCACACATAATTGTAGGTATGAATTTTTTTGACCCAGTAAAAACCACAAAGATGAGTAGACCGAACTTTGAATTCTGCTCCCTTTCAAAAAGGCCTCCAGGGACTGTAAAACCATGCTGTCAGTTTCAGCCTGGATTGCAGTGGGAATCAGGAAACATACACCTGAGGATTTTAGACCACAGTACTTGCAGACAGGAGCAGCCTCAGATAAGGAATGTGTCTGTTCATGATAGATGCAGAGTTGTTTATAAACCTTATATTGCTACCATGAATTTATAAGCATATTGGTACTGACTAGTTGAATTAAGATCTCCAAAGAGTGCATAACACATGGAGGCAGGGACCACTTTCAGTAACCAAATAATTCTGTCACCAGACAGCCTAAAACTATTCAAAGGCACCATTTTTAGCCAAGACCAACAGATCTGAAACATCTTTTGAATCTCTAGGCACATGAATTTTCAGGATGTTACAAGCCAAAAAGTCTTTAGGAAAATCTCCAAGCAGATGAACTCATTTTTTTTTAGCCATCATCTCTTTTAAACACCTTGACCAGTTTCCTTCAACTCTTCCAAAAAATCTGTCCCATAATAAGATTATTCCTGTGAAGCTGTAGGTGGATAGGGCTAATTTTGGCAAAGAGAGGAATAGAAATAGAGTCAAGTTTATAATGGAAACCTAAAGACATTTGCAGCATGCTGAATACTGTTCAGTGGGATCTATATAATACATGATCTTTCCATTGCAGCAAAAATATAAAGTGCTTTTATTGTCAGTAAGGGAAAAGACCACTTCCTCCATATGAAGTACTACCTAAGAGACAAAAAGACCTGTCAGGTCATGAAAGTATTTTTGCTTCCGCCCATTAAAATGTTTATAGGATCCAGATTAATTTTCTAAAATCTTGGCTTGAGGATCTGTGCAGTGCATTACACCATGCTGGCAGTGCAGAATGATGACAATTTCTGACTGCAGATGTGCCACTACCACAGACCTTATTTAAACTGCAGCATGGCATTGCCACACCAAACTAAAGCATTAAATTAGCCAAGGTACTGCCATTACACATCACAGCATGCTGCAAAACTACTCTGAAAGCAGAGCTCAGTCAATGGCCAGCTGCTGTTGGCAGGCCACCCTGAACAGTCTTCCTGGAATAATGGACCCAAGCTATCTAGTTTGATGGGAGTTCAGGTTTGTCAGAGCTCTAAATCATATGATGGTCCAGTAGTGCAGGTAGTTAAATGAAAATATTCTGCGTGGTTATAAAGTCTTCCTCTAGATAGTTCCAAGGCAATAGCTTCTGCAATTCAAATTGCCCAGCTTGGGAAAACATAGCCCACACAGTTTTTACAGAGATCTGGGAATTTTCTGGTTTGTGTAATGTTTAAGAGAAAACTCCCCTTGGGGACTTTACATTGTCCTTTTCAGATTTCTGTGACAGATTCTGTGACAGGCTGTTTCTAGGTCCTTGTAAAGCTCACTTAATAAAACTCTCTGTGGGGAATGGGAAAGGGTTATATAGGCTGAAGGCCAGACAGCACATTTCCACCCAGTGTGCAATTGAGCTGTCATGTGCAGATATTACAGAAATTATATTACACACAATTCTCAAAGATATTTTAGGTCCTCTAACCCCATCCTACCCCTGACCCCCATCCATACCACTTATTTCTGGGGACCAACTGTCCTCCCAACACAGCCACCTCACTAGGGACTGCTCAGCCTGAAAACTCTTCCTGTTGACCTTCACTGTTTGGAAATGCAGAGGAAAATGTACCAACATTGATTCAGTGGGCCAAGTAAAAGTCATTCTAAAAACTGCTGAGCTAAGTCATGTCTAGTAACTTGCAACTTCAGCCTGGTACTCAGAGTAGCATGGAGATTTGAAAATCTGTTCTTAATCCTATATGACAGGGATTGCTGGTCTGAAATACAACAACTGAACAGCGTTAAAAACAAAAAGGTTGAGCAGAGGGGAGCTATAAAGCCAGCACACATACACAAACCCGAGATGTGCTCAGTCTTAAACCATTAGATGCGCTCCCTGGTAGCATAACCTCCTGTCAAAAACGTGGGTGCAATATGGAACTAAGTATGTCAGTGGACAAAGTACAGCCTCAAAAGACATTGCAAAAGGTTAAAAGAGTCAACAATATCTAGCAAGTTGACAGCCTTTGACACGGAACTTCTTGCATTCACGCTGTTTAGCAGCAGCTCCAACTTCAGCCTGAACACAAACCACTGGGGAGCATATAACTCCAGATGTTTTTCCTTCTCCCTCAAGAGAGGAGAAATGTACAGTTACTCCCTAAAAATTTGTGTTCAAGTGACTTTTCAGTGATACATGAGCTTGGCAATGCCTTGACTATTCATCTAGGCCTTCCACACACAAACCTTCAGTTTCTGGTGACATATGGCATGGGAAAATCCAGCTCAAGCAGCTGAAGTCTGGCAAAATTATAAACAATCAGAAACAAGGTCTTCTAATGGAGGCTGTTAGACAGCATTAGCTATTGGGCCACTGTCATCTTCACAGCCAGAGAGTGATTTAATCAGTCAGTTATGTGAGCACTAGGAGTGATGAATAGGTCTTTGTATTCATTCACATCAAGTACGTACCCAGACTGGCATACAATGTGAGGGTTCTTTTGTCTGATAGTCGACTGGATCTCTAAAGAGCTGGGAATTTGCACAAAACAGCAAAGCAGTGCCACAAAAGATATCACCCATGCTCAGAAAGAGGGATTCCCAAGGTGGCTGACTAGTGCCCTTCCTCCATGACTTACCTTGTCCATCATTACCTACACAACTTAAAAGTCACATGTCAAAAAAGTAGTCCAGTTTTTCACCTCAGTTTTAGCCATCCCAGGTGGCGACATTTAAAGTCAGGGGGGCATAGGGGTACAAGTGCAGCTTGTCCTAAACTGCCAGCAGCTGGTAAGACAGCAGCCACAGGGCTCCTCTGCAGAGCCAAGCCACTTAGCCCCTGCCAGCAGCCCAGAGTGTTTGGGTGACCACATTCAGAGGCACTCAGCTCTGCTCTCAGCATGAGCAGCAGAGCAGGAGCCCGGGGCTGCCCAAGCCAAGCTGCTTCTTTACAGAATGACTTCTTCTGTAGGTGAGAGCATTTCCTGACACCTTTCTTTTGCAGCAGCAGCACAAAAGGACAGGAACTGGGCTAACAACTCATATCATGTTTTTACCTGGTATAAATGAGAGCAGAATGTGCTCTATCACAAGCCTTTATAAATAAAGCTGGTCACAGCTCTGCCAATTGGAGATGGCAGTTCACTTTGCCCCAGCAGCTGCTTGGGCTGGTAACTGACTGCAACAGGACCACAGAGGGACAAGAGAGAGGTGTGCCATCTGATCAAGGTCATTTATTGGCTTGGCTTTATAATTCTTGGGAAGCCAGTGGCAGCTAGTCTTAAGCCAAACTCCTTCTGCATTGCCATAAAATAAAAAATGTTAACGCATACAAATTCCAATAAAATTAAATCATTATTAAGCTTCCAAAGATATTTCCATATTCCAGCTAAAAACTCTCTGAAAAGTCTCAGTTTGATACTGATTATTACATACTACCTCACAACCCTTTACAACCCCTCCTCCCAGGACAGGTACAGCTTCTGAACTTCCCTCTGTTGTAACCGGAGTGAAAATCTGGAACCTATCACTGGCCACACTTCAACACATCCCATTACATTTTGGCATCACCCACAAAGATTATTTCTACTATTCAGATGAATATGGCGTATTTATTTTTCTCTTATCCTTGTGATCAGTTATTTCTTATGACCTTATCCCAGTGTGGACAAGGTGCTCAGACTTTGTTAGTTCAGTCACATCATAAACAAGATGAATTATGCCTTCCCTGCCTTCCCTCTCTTTTCCCTTTCTGAGCTGTCCTTAAACATACTTTTAAGGGTGACCTGGTCCTGGGAGGAGACACAGCAGAGAAGAGTGGGTGTGGGTGACTAGAGAGAGATGGTGGCATAGGATTTGGAAGAGATGTGCTGGCAGATTGATATATTATGACCACAACATAAAGGCTTGACACCTACTGTGCTGTGGGGTGACCTGGTCTAGCAGAGAGCATGGTGCTACCAGTAGCCACAACTAGAGAAAGTAGGGGAATCTTTCCCTCTTCTATTTCCCTATAGGTCTGACCTAGGTTTCTGGAGAGCACCTTTCCTTAATCGTCAGTTAGCAGCTGGACCTCAAGCCCCATCAATCTCCATGTGGGATTATCATGAAAGACTTGAATGGCATTGTCCATCACTACCAGAAAGCAAACCATACCCCCAGGCACAGGACTGCCAGGGCTGGCTCCTCACTTTTATCTGGCCACTGAAAAAGAGACTGTTGAAGTGCTGGCAAGCCATGGACTATGAGTAGGCACTGAAATCCATCCCTATGCCATGAAACTGTAGGAATTAAGTGCTTAGAGCTAAGTGTGTATTTAAGTGCTCCACTGAAAGGCATTAACCTTGAACTGAGACAGTTTTCAGAGAATGTGAGATAAGGGGAAGATAAAACATTCCTACAGCCATTACTTCTGCAGGCACATGAAGGGTCTACTGTCCAATGAGAACATAGCCAGCTGCACTTGGAACCACCAGGCCAGAGATAAAGTTAAACCAGGACACTACACAGGGGTAGCATCTGCCATTTAAGCAAAGCAAAGAAAGACAATACAGTCCCATACCTGTAAAGATGCAAGTCACCCCAGGCAGTTAATAGGTTCACTGAACAACCATCAACCCAGATAACTAGAGAGAAGGTACCAACTTCTCAGAGTGTTGTGGGCTCTCTCCTTTTGATAGATGAGTCCCAGAAGTCATGCATAATTTTCAGAAGGTGACATAAGCTGACAGTTGTAGGAAGCCTAGAGTTAACCACACAGAAAATCAACAGTCTGAAAACAAGAAACATGTCAAACTGCAACACAGATTCTTTCTTTAAAAATAAAATAAGGGAGTGAAACATGAAAGCTTTGGCTTAGAAGTAATATTCTAGCCATCAAGAAAATAGGAATAAAGGAGTAAAGTTTTGTGATTCCTGAGTGATTTGACATAAAATATGCTGAAATTTAACTCCTGATATGGATTTGCCTGTCATTCCTTGCTTTACAAGCTGCCTCACTTCACCCCCAGCTTCTCTTCTTCCCTGTAGACACCAAACTAGAGGGGGAAGGGACATTGCAGGACAGGCAGGCAACCTTAGAGTCACAATATATAATACTTCTGTGTGCTTTATCCCACATTTCATACACATACCTTGACTCTCAATAAGTATACTTACTCACATGTGTACTTATGCAAGTGACAGAGAAGACTTAGATGGTCATGGAATCCTGTGAGCAAAGGACATGCTGTTGAACAGAAAACATGTGGGAAAACTCCTGTAACCCATGGCCATTGCCAGGGCACCCTATGGGCTATGGTGGCAGGATGGGATGTGGGTCTGGCTCTGCGGGGCCCTGGCCAGGCAGGGCTGTGGGCAGCTGGAGCCAGGCCCTGCTGCAGCACCACTGAGGTTGGTGGGCTCAGGGAGCTGACAGGGGCAGCAGGTCCTTGGGCACCTTGAGCAGGGGGCTGGCTGGGACATTAGAACCCCTTCGTGCCTCTGAAGCACTGGCAGCCACAGATAAATGCCAAAGATATCCCAAGGCCTATGTAAGGACACATGAGTTAGAGGCAGGTTGTGCAGCTGTTTTGGGTCAAATTTAATAATGCCAGCAAAGGGAAGACATAAAACTCCATTATTCTGATTTACATGGCAGAGCAGCTCCAAGCACCTCCATTCCTATCAATGGTGAAGGATGGGTTTTTCATGGCCAAGAATACCAACAGAAGGACCAACCTGAGGCAAGTGTGGTCACCCTCCTCTGCCCACTCAGGGGCTGCCCATGACAGCACTTCACAAAGGTGTAGAGGAGGAGGAGGCTGGAAAAGCAAGGCTATTGCTGCCTTCTCACACCTTATTTGCATTGAGGAGGACCTAAACAGACACCCAGGTTTATTCAGGTGGAATACTTTGTTTGAGGCCTTCAAAGTTTTTTAAATTTTTGAGAATGAAAAACTTGTCAGCAAGTGACAGTTTGGGCTGCTGGACTTAAGTGGTTTTTAATTTTCTCCTTTTGGTGATTTGTGCCAACTGTTACTTCATGCATATGGAATATACAACTTCCAGCCTTTTCTCACTGGTGTGAAGTAAGAGTTTGGCACGTGCTGAAAACAACAAGCAGAAATTAACTTGCTCTCTCTCACCTTTAATGTCAATACACACCAGTAATTATTTGGAGAATTAAACATGTAGTTGTCTTGCTGTCACCTTAATTCTCCCCATTAAAAGGGGATTATATAACAAATTAGCCTGATTTATTCTATCTTCTATGGACTTAACCACTGGTTCACTCTTCTTTATTAAATTAGCAAAGAAGCTTTTGGCTTTCAGACATGTTAGGAAATCCTTCCCAAACTGAGACCACCAGTGCTAGGACTTGCTGAAGTACTTAAACTGCTCTGGAACCACCTTCTTGGAATGTACAGAGCCTGAACTCCAGATGACCCACCACACAGTGAAAACACACGGGTAGACACTTGTAATCTGATCTTCTGACATTTGCCCTCCAGTTTAGAAAAACCAATCCTCCACTTCACAGGGGTCACAGAATCTTCAGTCTCTTTCCTGTGCTCATTTAAATATAACCCAGGGTTCAGATTTGAGGTATGTGACAATGGAGTCTGCTAATTCTTTCTCTGGAGAATGGCTTAGCAGGAAGCAGCAGTTGCAAAGCAGAGCTAGATGTCTCTCCACCAGTTGTGCAAGAGCATCCACATGGCCTGCAGTGACAGAGATGTCTGCTGGCCAGAAGGGTGAGTTGCAAAGACACAGCATGTGTTATTCCTTCTCAGCTGACTGTATGTTGGAGAACTAGGGCTTCTTTCATACAGAATTACACAGTATGAAGTCTGCTGATTGCCAGTCATCTGAAGGCCTGATGCAATGCCCACTGGACCCAAAGGCTGTTTTTCTTCTGCTTTATAGGCTTTGGATTATCGCCTTACTAAAAACACTGAACCTTTGAGTATTTCAAGCTGTAGGGTCAAACCCCCTCACTTTCTGCATTCTTTGCTCTTAGCTGTAACAGCCCATGTCACCACCACAATGACAGCATTGATGGCAAACAGATCTGTGAATCAATACAGAAACAATCATGTACTCCTGGTTTTTCCCTCAACTTTCTCCAGCCTCTCCCTTCAGGATATAAACCCAGCTACTCCAGATCAGCCATTCTCATAGGAATTGTAGCTTATTGATTTTAGGCATTAATTTTCAGGTTTCTTATTAAGAATAAAAAAAAGATTCTTATCTATTTTAAAGAAAAAAATCCTGATGTAAACATAAAAAAAATTATTCTGATTTTTCCAAGACTAGACAGTAAATCTGATCTCCTGTACCACCTTCTCATTAGTTTGAGCTGCATGCCTTTGAAGCCTCAATAATCATCAAAGTAATTAGGTCACCCAAATCTGAGACTGAAATCTGAGATCAAAACTGTACTTCTTAAGGAATGATGGCTTACAAGCAGATAGGCTAGATAAATAAAATTTTAAAATCCCAACCCTCAAGTGACAAAACACATGGGTAACAATAGTGATTCCTGCTGCCTCCGGAGATCTTCACACCAAGAAATTAAAGAATTTGCAGTAATTGTCCTCCTAATCATGCTATTACACGCAGTGTGAAAATAGTGTATTTCAAAATCTCTCCCATCAAAACTTAAAGCTTCTATGCACTGAGTGGACATATAAAAAATTAGTCTTTGAGAAATGGATGAAGAAACTATGTAGAAAGGATTTCTACACATACCAAAGTAATGACTCAGTATTTTGATAATGAAATTTTTTTCCTCATTTATTAATACGTTTTTAGGATTTTACCATGCTGACTTAAACATCTTCAATTCTGCAGTCTGGTTTAATGTGATTTGTATGTAACATATCCCACTGGTGACATGAACTACATGCTTCCTCTTTCCAATACACACAGCTTCAGCTCCAAGTGCAGCAGCTTGTGCTTTTCCATACAGTGTTTTTGCTTTGGTCCCCTGTGTCAGGCAGTACTGTGACAGCTAAATGTAATATTGTTAATATTACACTAAAAACATCTCCTGCTCTATAGAATGTGCTAGTCCTGTAGAAGTGAAACTCTGCTGGAATATTGATCACTCAGTAGGAGGCCAAACAGTCAGACATTGGCAGTTTCTGCAGAATATTTGCAAGCTTTGCTTTTAGTCCAGCAGCATGGACAGAGTGAAATTGCATTGGCAAGCACACAAACTTGTAAAAAAATTTCAATCCCCCTCGCAGTGCAGTTCCATGGGATTCAAAATACCAGAAACAACTTCTGACCTCTCTGAGCAACGATCACCCCCAAACATGTTGTTCTGCAAACTGGAAAACTATACAAAGAAAACTAAACTAAAGAAAACTGGTATTAAAAGAAAGGGGAAAAAAGCCACCAAAAAAACAACCAAAACCAACAAAACCAAAACAGACAAACAAACAAACCAAACCATGCATTCATTATCCACTTAAATATTATTTCTGTAATATTTTGCTTTTAAAAAAGAAGAGAGGAGCTGGAAATTAAAAAACAAAAAGCATCCTAAAGGGTTGAGGTACATGCTGTTCAGTGAGGGATGTACTCACAGAGGTTTCATGCAAGTTCCTCACATTATCCCTATTGGCAGCAAGCAGAACTTGTGTTGCAGGGCTTCTGGGCTTGGGTCTGTGGGATGACTACAAAACACCAGAGCAATGTCCATAGCAAGAACAGAGAAACAGCCCTAGAGTACATAGAAATGAAACTAAAGAGAATTACAAGCAGATTTTAAGAGCAAGACATCAAAAAGAAGACAGGGATGCTGAAAAAATGGAAATAGAAAAACACTTCAAAATTATAAAATCCTAAAAGACTCATTCAGAATTGTCTCCTCCAAAGCCAAATATTCCTACTGCCTCACTTAATTGACAATGACATTTCCATGGGGCCTGGAATCTGATCTGGCACATAGAATTTACAGAAGCTTATAAAATTTATTTACTGTAACAGCACACCAACAATGATATACTATGGATTTTAGATGAGTATTTTATATTTCCACAGAAGTCAATAAAGTTGTGCCAGCAGAAAACTTGGCTTTACATTCACATAAAATATTTTATCTCAAAGAACAATAGAAACTCTAATCAAATTGAATTACTTCATATTGTTACAAACTGCAATTAATCTGCTCAGACTGAAAAGCCATATGAATTTTTGACTGAAAGGCATGCCATTAAGCTTCTCAGATGTTTACATGTAATGCAACATGACAGGAATTTGTATGGAGATGAGAGAAAATGAGCTATTTGACATTAACTGTTTGGAATCCTGTCAGAGGCTGTTTGCAGTCTGCAGTGGATTGGCAGGGCTGATCACGTGCATAAGTGCAGGATTTGTGGGAGGATTTCTCAGACTGAGTTGTTCTCTGAGGAACATTTGGTGAAAACTCACTGTGTCTTTGGGTATCCAAGCCTAGGGTGGAAGTGAACATTAACATCACCATTTTCTAGCAAGAGTAAATAATAAATCTACAAAAAGGAAATATTTGATTTATATTAAGTAGGACAGGTAAAAAGTAATTTAATTTGTACCTCATATGTGAAGCATGGGAGTTACCTTCCCCAGTCCCTTTCCCATGGAATTTGAGACAAATGATGGAGACCTGAAGAATGTCTGGGCAAAAATGAGCAGCTGGGCACCACAGGGACTGAATCCTGATCTCAGGAGGTGCTGTGCAGAAAGATGAAGATTTGCATTAGGCAAGCACAGAAGAGTATCTGCCAGCTCACTTGTACAGTGACTAGTTGGTGCTAGCTGGGATGCAGAGGCAAGGTGAGTGTAGGCTCTGGTCTCTGTGCTGAGGCCAAGGCTGAAGACAATTATCTTATTTACTAAAGTTCTTTCTGTTGTGCAAGTTTTTTTAGCACCTTAACCTAGCTAGTTAGTTAGAAAGCAAGGGGAGACAGAAGTCTCTCTCCAAAAAGAATTACATTGAAAACAGAAATCTGGAAAGTTCAGAGAACAAGAAGCAATTAAAAGGAGCCAAGTATTTATTTATCTGTTTGTTTAAACTTCATGCTTGGCAACATTCAGACAGCCTTCTGAACTGGGGCAGAATTAGAAGCTTGAATGTCTGAGACATATTTTGGGTCAAAAATGAATGATGGTCTTGTTTGCTAATTTAGGACACTTCAAATAAATAGCATCAGGGAACAGAGGGCAGGTAATCAGCATTTGCTGTCACTTTACAATGTTTTGAACTGGGTACCTGAAATATTGAGAACCCCATAATCATCAGGCATTTTCAAAATCTTCATTTAAATCTTTGTCTGTCACAGAAGAATAATTTCCTTCAAAGATGAACTGTCCCATCCTCCATGGAAAGTGCATTTGAGGAAAATTCATTAGACTAATCAAGAAGGCAGTTGGAAAACCTGACTTCATTCTAAAAAAATGAATATGTTCATGGAAAACCAGCCTCAAGTTAGGGCTTCAAATGAATCAATTTTGAAAGAGGAAGAAATTACATTACTGGCATTAAAACGACAAGTCTTGAGACACATGTCATAATTTCTTCCACTGGCAAAGAGATGATGCTGAGCAGTGGTGAGAGCAGTCACCCTTGGCGGGTCCCAGTCCCCTGGAAATTTTTGTGACTGTTCTCAAGCACAGAAGGATGTTGGGGTGTCTCTGCCCACCCCAACATCCCAGCTGCCTTTTACACAGGGGCCAAACTGCCTAAACTGCTGGTGGACTGTGCCCAGTAACTTTGCTGTGGGGCTGGACCAGCCATCAGCACACTCAGGGGCTTGCTCAAGACAAGCACTGCCTGCCTTCACGTGGGAACCCTCGTGGCACAGGGGCTGAAGGGTGACATCCATTTACTTTCATTTGTTGTTCTTGGAGAACTGGATTGGCTACTGGATGTGCTTTTATTGACACACAGCAGCTCTTGCTCACCATCCTCAGCCAATGGACTCCAAAGCACACAGTCAACTTCCATGAAAGATGGATACTGTCATTAAGAAAAAATAACAGAAATCTCAGAGGGAACCACAGAAAGAAACAAACGACAGAGCAAAAATTCTGTTCATCTCTAAACTAGTTGTCCCTCAATTAGGTAATTAGATCTGTAAGAGACTGAAAAGGCCCCTACAAAGACAGTGCACTAACTTTTCACCATGTCTGAGATAATAAAGAAGACAGTTGCATTAAAGCCAGTGGAAAATTATTAATAAAAGAGGTGATTTATGTGCTACTCCTGTTTCTCTAGTTTATTCTTGCTGTTCAGCTGCCCTGAGTTACAACAATTGGATCTGTAAGTATAAATATTGCATTTCTAGCTTTCATGCCCACTTTGAAGACTGAGTCCAGCAAGTGAGGATCAGTGAATCTATAAGGGATATTCAGGTTAGCCTGTAAGACAAATTTATGAGACTCTGAACCTCTGACAAGCATCTGCATCTGTTCTATTTACTCAGGTAACACAAGAGAGGCCACGCTACTAAAACACATCATAAATGAGTTACTAAATTAGGTCAGTCAGCCCCAGCATTAAGACTGGTAGCAATTATATATTGGTTTATTTTATTAATGTGGGCAGTTACCTCTCTAATGGGACTCAGATGAGGATGTTCTTACCAGTAATGGGAAAAATAATCTTTTTCAGTCCTTACTCTCTGCTCCCTTCTCACTATGTATCTAAAATGACTGAAATCCAGTGGCTTCAGAAAATGTAACTTCTAAAGTAGTGCTTTCTTGAAAACAAATTAAAAAAACCCCAATGAAACAAAAAAATATCCCCCGACAAACTAAAAACACTTGAATTGTACAAAAATACCATGAGAAAGCTTCTCACTGAATAGTTCCTCTGCAAACACAATAATGGAAGAAAACAGAGTACACTGAATGAAATCTATCCCATGTTAATTATGTTGCTTTTTTTCCCTTAGGAAAGACTGTTGGGTATATGGGAGAATACAAACTGCTGAAAATTAAAATGTGCTGCAGAACTGAAATCTTGTTAGGCTCTGCCTAATGTTTAGCCTTTCACTTGTGAGCTGGGAAGATATGGCAGTTCATGCAGGAAACGCCACACCTCTGCCAGCCTTTGCATGACAGGAGTAATCAAACTGTCTGCACACAGGGCACACACGTGCACTTACTCATGACAAGACAAGGAAATGTTTTTGGGGTACAAACTCAGAGGCAGCTGCTGGTGGTGCCTCCAGCCTCCTTTCTAGGCTATGGAAATGCAAATGAAAACACATCTCCATGAAATTCTGTATTTTGAATATAACTGAAACAGAGATTTTTGAACAAATTAAACTTCTTTTGCTCTTTTATTGGTGACACTTATCTAGCTAGAAAATGAGAAGTCATCTTGTTCTTCACTTATTAAAAGCTGCTATAAGTGCATAATATGGTTAACAAAACACATGCATAACTAAGCTTAAATTTAGAAGTTGTCAGTCTCAGTTTTGAAATGCAGGGTGACTTACCAGAGTCCTAGTCACACCATAGTATGAATTATGGGCAACACTGGCTGTGTTCCCACAAAAATAAGATAAAATATCAGAGCTGCTCCTTGAATTTTGCTTTTCAGCAGAAAATATTACTGTAAACAGCAATCCATCAACTCACCCACTGCAACCTAGAGCATTACCATTGTGATGAAGTACCAGCAGACATCTTTGTCCCCAGAGCATCCCTCAAGAGCAAGGTGTAGCCCAGAGCATTTGCTTTGATCCATCCCACTGCCATTTGCTTGATGCTCTTCCCCGGCAGACCAAGTTTTAGATGAAGAACTAGAGGGTTTGGAAATTTGGGCCAAAGAACACCTTTGCCTTTTCACAGGAGCTAGGCTCTTTGCCTTGGCCCAAAGCATCATAATTTCAAAGGGATCATCTGACAGTGCTGGATAGAATAAGTACCAGCATTTATTAGTGATATGAGTCAGCAAATAATCTCTTGCCTTGGAAAGTCAAAACGTTTGTAGCTGTTGTGTTCCCCACAGAATCTGACATTCTGTCATGAAATACACTGAATTCATGAGTGACTCCAACCTAATCATGAGTAAGACACTCACGCTGCTCCATCCTCAAGCATGATAGCCAATGTCCTTCTATCACAAGCTGTAGGACCTGACCCAGAATCTCAGAATAATTTGGGCTGGAAGGGACCTCCACAGGTTATCTGGGAAAATTACTTGCTCAGAGTAAGGTCTGCTGAGGTCATGTTTGTTCAGGGCTTCATTCAGTCAGTATCTGGTTATCTACAAGGTGGCTGATCCTGCAGACTCTCCTGTCATCAATTTCAGTGCTACATCACCCTTCCAGTGAAAAAAACATCCTAATAACAAGGGAGAATTTCCCACACTGTGTTTGGTGTCTCCTGTCCTGTCCTATCACTTTTTCCTCTTAGAAGAACTTGGATTCAACTTTATACAGACGCTATTTTCTCTCACTGCTACCAAGTCTCCTGACATTCTTCATTCTCAGAAAAAACCTCTCCCTCCAAAACATTCAGTGAAGATGAGCAGATTCATCCTTGTCCCCATCCTTGTTCACGGTTTGCAGTCATCCTTCATCCCTCTTTGGAGCCACTCCATTGCCTAGACCAGTGAATGAGTTCAATGCTGAAACAGAGCCAGCCCTTGTCTTCTTTTAAAGAAGTCAGAGTCAGCAGTGCTCTACAACTAGGCAAGACTTTCTGAAACAAATGCATTTTGGATCCTTCAGGTAGCAGGATCCAAAATTCCTAAAGCCAGAAGGCTCAGGCCAAAGTTGATTAAGCCTTCAGCAGGAGAGGACATACTGTTTTCTTGGTACTTTCTCCTCCAGAAATTTAAAATTCACTCTTCTCTGTCTTGTGATCTCTGTAAACTTTCCCTCAGCCTGTGTTTCCTAGGCAGCTCATGCATGTGGAAATAATTTCTGCAATGCCAATATTCCTTTTTGAGTCTGCTTCAGTTCAAGACAAAAGAGCATGGTTCTATTCAATTCTGAAAGGCTATTCTGCATCACATTAGACCAATACAAATACTCTCATGTTTTCTTGTCTTTCAACATAATATGAGGCTCTTATCATTTCCTCTCCTTATAAAAATATATATACAAATGCTGGGAAAGGAAAGCAAGCCCAGCAGTATGAAAGAACTACAAAACATCCTCATATTCTGTGTATTGACAGTCTTGTCATGGTTGGGTTTTGATGTACACAACAGGGAATTCATATGTATCATAAAAATTTATCTGTGGTGAAGTTAGAATGATCGAATTTGTATGTCCTAAGGCAAAAAGCTACTGCAGTAATCTACTCTGAGATTGGCCTATCATGTCTAACAAGTTGCCTACTAGAAACATCAATATACTGTGAGATAAGCAATAGCTACCAATGGGCTGCCACCAGTCACTCTACCACAGCTTTACTTTGTATCCCTGAGCCACTAAGATTATGTTCACGTACTCTATTACATTTTACATAGTGACTTCATATTTTTAAAACAATTTTTCAAGAGCTGAAAGTAGAATTTTTCATTCTCTCATTTTTAGAATTAGCCTAACTCATATTTTGGTTCAAGGGTGGTAGGGCTTTTTTATTTTCTACCCTGTCATTAGAAAAATGTTTGAAAAAAAAGGTTTTGTCATTTCTAGCAGCCAGGAATTGATGACAGTAATCAACCAGCTTATTATTATTATTATTATTGGAAATACCAATTTTGACTATAA